ATACAAACACACACGGATCTGGGGAGGACTAAGATAGCAACCAGCTCTTTTGAAGCATTTTCAAAACAAAGCAGCTTCTTTCTTCATCCATTTCCACAGCAGAAAATAGCTTGCTTTGATTTAATTTTTTTTTTTTTTGTGATGAGCATATTGAAGAAAAGCAAAGCTAATTAAATACTTCCACATCATATTCTGAATGCTTTGACTCTTTGAATAGTTCAATGAAAAGTGTCATATATTGTGTGCAATACTTAGGAATTCTGTTAATCCACAATGTAGGAAGGTATAGTCCCTGCTGGGCACCTAACACCAACCACCAAAGCTTCTGAATAAGTGAGACAGCCTTAAATTGCAGTCTGTAGCTCACTGTGCCCCAGGTTAATTTCTAGAACTACATCAAAACATTGAACTCAGTACCCTACAGCTGTGATTACAAGATGGAAAGGGCACAAGCAGCTCTGCCTCTTGCTGCCAAGCACGACTGACCGCAGGAAGCTTAGGTTTTACATATTCACTTTTGACTCTCACTGCGACCTTAGCCAGTATCTCTCTCATTAGGAACCACATAACTGCTCAGAACCTGTGGTACACAGAGGATCAGTCTTATTCTCTCAACCATTATTTATTTTCTTCTGGGAACACATTTTTCTGTCTGCTGATTCCAGCTGAGACTGACTAAGCCTCTCGAGTCGAGGTGACATGTACTATTACTAAACACTACACAGATCAAGTCTGTACAGAACAGCACTTATATGAAAAGGTATTTCTAATCCATTCAGAGCAGTAATACTTAGGTGGGGCACATTAAGAGTTTTAGTTATTTTTGTCCTAAGCAAGACTAAGCAGTTCCACCCTTCCGCTGGAACCACAGTAAGCATTGCTCATTCAAGAAATCCTTGCTAATAAACAAGGGAAGGAAAACAATTGTTTCAATCCCACACTGCCAAATTTCCAGGAGGTGTCAGCCACGTTATACAATCCACGTTCTCAAACAAGGTACATCTTGACACATTCTTCCTTCAACAACTGCTCTTCAACTGAAATTGCATACAGCAATGTGCATAAGTGGTCTTTTACACAAAATGAGGACACATGACCTTAAAGACTTACATTACTACATTACTAAGAGGTCAGACGAACCTTGCAAAGGAGCACATGCAAGTATTAAGAGCCACAGTCCCCATATACAGTGTCCTTCTCCTACCCCTCTCACCATACTGTAAGCAGGAATACTCCCAGTTCCCATGCTACAAGAACTTCCATTCAGGTAGGTTTTGCATTGGGTTTTGTTCTCATATTGCTGGAAAAAGTGTAAAGAACCAAGCTGAGTTCTGCTGGTTTGCAAAGGAGTAAGTAAGTAAGAAAAAGGTAGTGACATGCCAGTACAGGTATGCACTGGTGATTATACCAACCTGCCTTAAATTAGATACTGATTTTGCAGTTGTGTTCACAGGGATAAGCTCACATGTGGTCTCAATCCTCACTCTGGTCAAATACCACGTTTCCTTGGCTATGTGCTGTCTGGCAAAAATTGACCACTGATCCTGACTAATAACTAATATCATGCTTTTATTTTGTTTAAGCTATACTTCTTCAAAGCTGCTGATTATTGCAAAAGGCCTTAGGTAGGAATAAAGCTGCTGGCATTCTCCAAAAAGTCCAAAGGAGCTAAACTGAGAAGAATGGAATGTAATTTTCATAATTTTTGAAGTCTGCCTTGTTTAGCTGTTCAGTGCTTAAATTAAACTACTTAGTTCTAACAGGAATATGTTTAGTTTAATTCTGATTAATTTCTTTATACATTTAAACACATTGTATAGGTATTTAAAAAATTTACTTCTAGCAGATAAATCCCCTCAACTAATTTCTAACATAGTTCCCATGTATGAATGAACGTACTACGGAAAAATTACTTACAGCCCCTCCATTCAGTTTTATCAAGTGTTACTTTATACAAGTCAAATGCCACAAGTTCCTCTCAAGAAACTATATTTTGTTTTCTTATTATGGAATGTCAACCTTTAAATAATTACTATTTTATAATGCCTACAATATTTGGCAGTTATAGCATGTAGTATACACAGGGGTCAAAGGATGCTTTCATAAGCAAAAAGCGCAAAATACTCTGGCAAGAGTGCTTAAAGAACAGTGAACTTAAAATCAATTATTCCTGCATAACGTAAACTGATAAAAAGTTTCACACTGCTGCAACTATAAACTAAAACTTTTCTAGATAAGAGATGAACAAGATGTGATATTGAGAGATAACTAACACCACTGACCCTGTGAGCACTCACAGCTCTAACAGAAGGATGAAATTAAGATACTTTCTCATTTCACTTCTGTGAAACTTCATTTCCACTGAGGGGGATGGGATGTTTGAATTGCTTTAGTTAAGTTCCATGCTTTTCCAAATGAAAGAATATGAAACACACTGTTGATTCAGGCACTCCAAACACTATTAATACAAGTTTTCACCCAGAATTTGTATCTTTCATACACCTTAAGACTTTTGATCCAAAGCTAAGAAAGGTCATCCTAAAGCCCCATGGCAAATATAAACTGAAGTCTCTGGAAGTGCATATAAATACTTCATTCTGCTGTTGTACTGAGATTTCCAGTTGGTCAATTCCTTAAGTGGAGAAGAGCATCTTTTGAAAAAGAACAGAACAAATACCATGGAAAACAGCCCTTCCTTGAAGTTATACTGTCGGAAGGCAATCCCAACACTGACTCTATCTGCAAGTCACTATAAAGGGTTCCCATTTTTGATAGCTATAGCATTCACAAGTCTAGCCCTGAAAAGATCCAGAAACCCCTTCTAATCTTGCCAAAAGACAAACTGCCAAAATACTAATCTAAAATTCTTTAGATATCAGTGGTCACAGCCACTATAGCAAGTAATTCAGCACAGCAAGACCAGAACAACATCAAAGTATCCTGTGCTGAGCCTTCCCATCTATACTGTGTGCAGTTCAGGAATTTTGTTTCAGACTGTATCCAGCCTGGTTTCCTGGACCAAACATTTTTTGAAGCTGCTAGGAGAGTCAAACTCCGTGACTGATTCTTAGGTACTCCTTGGGCCCAGAAGTGCATTTGGCGCACACCTGGAATGGAGGTTCTGGTTAGTTTCTTCCAAAAGAAATCCAGCACATGCTTAGTAAAATCATTCTGCAGTAAGTAGGGACACTGTCTTCAAAACAGTGCCACTGCTTTGAACCAAAACCCTAACAGAGAGGTAGACACTTACCTACTACTGTCTTGATTCTCCAGGCCTTCTATCTACTCACAAACCTCTCTGCTTAGACCTCTTTCCTGGACTAAATTTGTAGTTTTTTTCAGACCTTCCTAGGACTTGGCAAATTTTTCCAAGTCTTGCTTTTTCCTGCCAAACTCTTTGCAGTAACTTTTTTCTCTAAAAGTCATGTTTGAATAATACATATCAGTTAAAAAGAAACACTCAAGTTAAGTAACTGATTTCCATGCAGTATTTCCACTGCCCTAACATTCCCTTTTTTGTAACAAATGTTGTACTTATCAAGTTCAACATCCACTAGAAAGTGAACTTTTGTCTTACAAGTCAAGACGTTACTGTTTATCTGCACATTTTAGTTAAAATTCTCCAGTTCCTTCAGAAGCTGTATTCACAATAATTACATCTGAACTACATGTTACCTCATCATATCATTAGATGATAGTATAGATGAAGAGGTATTCTTGAAACACTAATTTCTGTCTTAGGAGTCCACTTTTCTCAAAAGCAGTCTCTGAAGTAGCTGAAAATTACGTGGATACGAAGCTATTACTTCACGAAGCTATCACTGCACATATAAACCTCATTACTTTCTGAACCCAGTCCAGTAGGGTCCTGGAATTTCTGGTATTTCTCCAGCTTAGTTTCTGGTCGGCCTGTGACAACCCTGTCCCACAACCAAACCCTACATGGAAGAGTTTGAGGTGTCCAGGGCACAGCACGCTTGGAAGGAAAGGCCTGCACAGCACATAGTCCTGCTCTCTGGGGAGACAACAGGAGATGGAGATGAGGAAGCTTATCCTTAGCCATCAGCAGCAGAAGTTGTAACCAAGTGCTAATGGGCTGAAGTAAGCTACTAATGGCAGTCTCTAAATTTCACTTTAGTGTGGCACTACTTAAAAGAAGTTTCCTGGAAGAAATCTAAGGGTTTTTTTCTTTTAGAAATTCTCTAGTTAATAACCTCTCTTGCTGATAGCTATGACTTTAGTTACCTGTACTTAAATGCTGAAAGGGTTGTCTTTGAGGTTCTCCAGAAGTCTCAGGTATCCTATGCCTGCTGGAGGGGACATGCTCACAAATGCTTTTGCCAGTGGCAAGCCCTACCAGACTTGTGTAACTGATGAGACTTTCATGAAGCATATTAAGAAGTAAAGCTTCAGTCCAGGGTCCTGGGACTGGCGAGTCCTCAAAACACAAGGCGTTCCTATCATCCCTGCATGATTCAACTTGCTGTCCAAAAAACAGATCCAGCAGCCTTTGATCTTCAAAGATGACAGGGAGCAGTCTTTGAGGCAGCCAAATGTGTCTTTCTGCATTACCAGATTGCTACAGAGACAGGCAGATGGGTGGAGCAATCTCTGCGCTCCTGCCATAGAAGCAGCCCAGTTCTGTGTTAAATTAGAGCAGCACCCAGCAGTACATATGGCAAGTGGGAGAAAAGATCCTAAATTCAGCTGTGCAGCTTCTAGGTGGGACCACCCTGTTCATAAACACATTGAAGAGACACTTGTTTTGCTACACTGAAGTCAGAATGAGCCAGTCACAGAAACGGCAGAACTGGACACTAAATAACCTGCTTCAAAGGGACCTGGCACTAGTATCTTGCTTCATCCCACATTTGGAAGTATTTTAACACATCTGTGTGAATCTTTTGTCTTTAGGATAAGTACAGGTCAACTATAGCAAGAAATCAGATGCACAAACGATGAAAGTTATATTAGTACAACTGCGAGTAAAAATCTCTTACCTCTCCAAATGCACCTCTTCCGATCACTTTTATAATTTCAAAGTCATCTCGATGGAGTTGCATTTCCTTTACCAGTTTTGTAAATGGTTTTGCTGTTTAAGAAAAAAAAAGAAAATTCAATTATAAAGAGAAACACTGCAAGCCAAAATAATCCATAAACCAAAGGTCAAAAGTACTTGTTGCATACCCAGAGCAACAGTAAATATTCAACTATTAGAACTACAGAAGGAAAAAAAAGTTATTAGCACTATTTAATTTACACTTAAAAAGTTTTTTAAAAAGTTCAATCCTATGAGTGGCTCTGCCTTGCTGCTAATGAGTAATGAGTAAAGTGGTCTTTCAAAAGGATTCCCCCCCCCTTTCTTTAGGGCTTTGTGAATCACTAAAGGACCACGTGAAAGGGAGATAGCTCATTCATTATTGGTAAACCCTAGAGACAATCTGTCCTACCCTTCAGCCACTAGATTAATTCTCTTCTTAAGCAGAGTGCAGCTTTACTTTTTATTATTTCAGCTAGTACCAGCTAAAGCTTTAACAGCCGACTCTCAAGAGAGAGCTGTCTCTACTCAACAGCAGTGAAACCATTTCCCACAAGATCTGTGGCTAATTTAGGATTTTTACTTTGAACTATCTTTTCTGTTAAGCAACATTCACCAGATCTCAATTAGACCAAGTACTGAAGGGCTCCAGCCTGAAAGATGTCCAGCGATTAACTAACCCACACTTACTTTATTCTGTGGTCCCACTGAATTCATGACACTTCTCAAAATATTTGGTTGATAAATACTACTGCACCTGCAGCTCCATCAGTTTTCTCCTCTCCAGATCACAGCATGTGGATCACTATTTAGATACAACATTCGTTACAGTTCACTACTCTGATTATGAAGATCAAATGAATAAGGAAAAACAGTGGTGCAAGTGCAAGCCAAACTGCACAAGAGCAAGTATGCACAAGCAAAGCAGCAGCTCACTCTTCAAACTAAGCACAAAAAGATCGCTGGTCTTCACTTCATCAGAAACATTATTAGACTAAAAAGAATGAAGTTCTTCAACACATATATTTTTCCCATGTGCAACTGAATAAAATATCACAGAACTACTACTTGTAATTCAGCCCAGACTCCTGTTTTACCTCACCTTACACTATGATTAAGCTAATGAGTTACAAGCCAAACAGAATTCCTACAAGAGGGGTCATTGCCTTGACAGTGTATTTTGGATGATAACACATACAAACGTACCCTTACAACCACACAGACAGAAGTCTGAACCGGAGACTGCAGATTTCAGTATAGAGTCTAACCAAGAAAGCCTGAAAACCTCTCAGCAAAAAATCATCAGAGCTAAAAAAAATGAAGAAACAGCTGTACTGAAGAAAAACCATGCTGCTTCCTTGTAGTTAGGAGAGGTGTTACTGAAAAGGTTTCCTCCAGAAGTAATACCCCTTTCACTGCATGTTTCTTGTCTACCCAAAGTATGAACTTTAATAATGAGACTCTACTAGCTTTTCTGCTAGACTCCCTATTTCAGCCGGACAGAAATGCCTACCATAGTCTTCCTCACCACAAGGTCATTGAGACTATCACCCCAAACCCCCAAATTGTTTATAAACACCACCTCAAACCAGTTAGAGACCTATACCAGTCCAATCAGACACCCATACAAGTAAATACCACTGCTGATGCCTGTGATATATGTCAATTATTCTGCAAGGTTCTCTCACCTCCTTCCCACCAAACCAAGACAGATTGAGGAAGCACAACAGCAGACAAGAAATAAACATGACAGTTCCATTATTAAGTATGAGGTTGCTACTACAGAAATTGGGTCTTTGGACTAATTTTGCAGAACATCAGCTTCTGTTATTAAAATTCAAGGAGAGGGGAAATGAAATCTAGTAATTTTATTTCTGGAGTCACTAACCCAATAATAATTTTTGTTTTAAATAAATAACAAATTTTAGCAATAGTTCTGATAAGCAAACAGAACATCAAAATCATAGAATCATAGAATTTTTTAGGTTGGAAGGGACCTTGTCCCTGCCACGGGCAGGGACACCTTCCACTAGACCAGGTTGAACACTGCCAGCAATGGAACATCCACAACTTCTCTGGGCAATAAAATAACTGGTTTAAGAATAAAAACCCTGTTACTGTAAATTGAACACAAGCAACATTCAAAGCAGGAAGACAACCTATCAAAGTCTAAGCTGTCTTGTACACTTAAAAAAAACCCCCAAACCTATATTTTTGTTGACTGGTGACAAAATATTTTGTCTACAAACTTCCTTGCTTTGAAGTGTATCTAACTTCACATCACCAAAACTGGGATTCAGTTTAGAAATGCATAAAGTGGTATAAAAGCAAGTAAATTCGATTAGTTTTATATTTCAAAAGATAATAAATATCATGTATCAAGCAGAGAACATACTTTAATTTCAGTAAGCAGAAGAAATAGTGTCTGCAGGGAAGGGCATGAACACCACCTTTCTAGGAATTGTACCCTTGAAGAAGGAAGGATGAGCAGCCCTCATTCTCCTGACCACCATTTCAGTTAAAAAACTTCAAGAGTTTTAGTTGATCTTGTTTTTTCATCTCAACTGGTCAACTGAAGTAGTGCTTTTAAAATTAATTATTTTAATATACGTAAATGAAAAAAGTATTCTCTCCTAAAAGGAAGTTACTATTTTTACAAGCCATTTGTGCACTTAACTGATGTTTGCTTTTAGTATTTAGTAGGTGTTGGTGTTTGGAAACACAGCAGCTTCAGTGGCCTCTCTCTTGGAAAGCACTAAACATGAATATTTGAATGTACAGAAATATTTTAAATTGGACAGGACTTCTCTTGAAATAGAAAAATTCGAGTCTTATAATAAAACCTAATATCCACAGAATCTCATCATCACAGAGACCACAACAAAAGTTACACATCAAGTCAGAGTTCAAAGGAGGCAACAGACCAGTAATTCTTTTAAACTCATATTTACTTTATTAGCACTTGTTTACACCAGGATGTGACCTGCTGCATTTAAGTACTGGATTTCACAATTTCTATCTCTTAGTAAGTTAAATCAAAAAATATTTCCTATCTGCTTTCCTGCTCTCCTCCCAGGAGGCTGCTGTTCCTCAATCCGCAAATATCCAGATCAGTAGCATGCACAGAACTGGCAAAACTGAGGGAGCAGAAACTTCCACCAAAAAGTAGCAGAGACAGGCTGTGTTTGCTGTGCTTGCCAGAACAATGCCAAGTGATTTATCACTATCTAACTGGTAAAAAGCTCCAGCTTCTCCTTTTCTATATCACTATTTGATAAATAGGGAACTCGAGACAAACTTATCTCCATATACTGGAATGAATAATTACACTTTACTGATTAGTTTTGATCCTAATATTGAAGGCAGAACTTATGATTTAGAGTTGATTTAATACTTAATGAAAGTATTTCATCCTGGCAAACAGAAGCCTTAGCTGTGCTGGGGGTTTTGTTGGCAGTGATTACTGAATTTTGTTATATATACACACTGTTGTCAGGGTAACATTAGCTGAGAGTAATTGCAAGAGTTTGTTTATTCATGACTGTGAGGATGTAATCAGAATTTGGGATAGACATTCTACATGCAAATATTTGTATGCATCACTGCCTTTTCTCTCAAGCTCATTTTGCATTATTGTACTTATTCTTGTTTGGAAGAAGGGTGTTCTCCACAAGGCCAGACAACAAAAAAACCCAACAAAACCCCAAAGAACTAATTTTAAGGAGCCAAGTAATGTACGCTCTCAAGAATATAAAACAAAACAGTAACAGTTGATGTTTTGATTCATAATGGGAAGTGAAATGCCAACCTTTATTTCTTCATTGAACAGAGGGGTACATATGAAAGACATAATTTTCCACACGCAATTTCTATTCTGATCATATTCTCCTCTTCCACTGAGAGCTGGGATTAGGATATTTTATTTACACAAAAACATCAATTTGAATAATTTGAAAATACAATTTAAAGCACAGTCACACGTAAACAGGTTTGTGATTTAGGTTTGAGAGCTGGTGAATCTACACTGCAGTCAATCTGTATTCTGCCACCCGATAGAAAATATTTGAAGGCTGTTTCAGAATGACTAAAAGCTGCAGGAAATGCCAGTGGAGACGATCTGACACAGCAGACTGGGCACTCTGCACTGCTACCCCAGGAATGGGTGCTCACCAGCCTCTCTCAACGTCAGAAGCTTTTGCCAAATTGCCTCTCATTTCTGAAGGCAGGTCAGGGAAGGATGGCAGTATTGTCAACATCACCCTCAAAAAATAAAAGGTTAACTCTTCCCACACAGAATGCCATTAAAAATGAGAAGTGTCAGGGTATATTTTAAATTTTTACTTTCTGTTCAGATTCTGAATCATTCAATCTATGTCCATAATTTACCATCTGGAATCACACCAGCCAGCACCTTTACATCAGTGGGCAAAAGACTACCTGCTGGGTTTATGGTAACTACTGCTTCAGTGGTGGAATTATCCAATGCCTGTAATTTGAGGACTCCTCCATATTTTGTTAGGCAGTGCAAGTCTCCAGAAATTCACAAAAATCACTCAGCTGAAGCTGCCAAATGTTCAAGAACATCTGATGTTTTTTATCATTGGCAGCTTCAAGTTTTAAATAAATGTGACAACTGCAAGCAAACAATACACAGACTCACAATTCAAGTTGAAAGGGCCTAGCTGGTCTCTAATCCAACCTCCTGCTCAAATCACCGTCAATACTGATTTCAGACCAGGTTACTCAGAGTTCTGCCTGGTCAGGTTTCAAAAACTTCCAAGGATGGAGACTCCATGGGCTCTTGGAGAACCCTGCTCATATACTGGACTGCCTTACACCAGGTAGTTTCACAGTTCGGAACCAATCCTGTAAGTGATTTGAGGTTTAAGTCATTACATATCATGATAACAACACTGAGGTAGATCTACCCTGAAGGTACGTCCAAACCGTCTGGTCAGACAGAAATTCATCTGCCACCACAGTCCCTTTATCTACTCATCCCCTTTACAAAACATTGTGGTAGGCAACTATGTGAACTGCAAAAGATTAATGTC